GCCGTACTTTCATATGGAGAGAGTCAGAGGCCTGCTACCTACCCTCCAATATCCGCAAAATCAACAGTTATAGCGGTGGCGGTGTAATGGTCTGGGCAGGCATCATATTGGATGGCCGCACTCCTCACCACGTCTTTGACACAGGCTCTGTGACTGATTTGAGGTATAGGGATGAGGTCTTGGAGCCCTATGTTCGCCTTTTCCGGGGCGCAGTGGGCTCCGAGTTCGTCTTACAGGATGATAACGCTAGGCCACATAGAGCTCTTGTGGTCGACGAATTTCTCGAGAGTGAGGATATTCACCGGATGGATTGGCCAACCAGGTATCCAGACCTCAACCCTACAGAGCATGTCTGGGATGCTCTGGGGAGGACAGTTGCAACTCGCAACCCCCTTCCGAGAACCATCCAGGAACTGGAAACAGCGTTGCTGAATGAGTTGAACCAGTTGCCACAGACACTGATAAACTGCCTTATTTCCAGTATGATATCACGCTGCGAGGTCTGTATGGCTGTAAGAGGGAACCATACTCCCTATTAACCCATCTCTTTTGTGTCTTCTGCAACCGCTGTTTCAGATCTTCAGACTCCCATGAGTGTTACATACGAACATGTGTGTCTGTTATAACTGTTGAATGTTTATTTTGTTTGTATTATATCAACCTATGTTCAGACCAAATTTTATTAAAATCTGTCCAGTAGTTCTGGAGATCGTAGATCAAATATGCAAATTCTCTTAATGTATTTCACAAGTGTAGAATTCTAATGTTAATATCTACCTAATGTTTTAATTCATAGAATATAAGCCCACTACCATTTCTAAAGCATCTTATCCTTGACGGAATAAAGCTCTTTTAGCTCTTATTTCCAGTCTCCTTACAAGTGGCAACCATTTTGATTCTCAAATGAAAAAAATATTCTAAGCCGTAATAAATTAAAAAGTGGCAGCATAATCTGTCACTTTGGAAGCTAAATATCTGATAATTAATTAACGTATTGATCTGAATATAAGTCGGTGTTATTGCCTTGAAAATACAAGACACAAAATCATACCCATACGCAGCCTAGAATTTAAAATCCACGAAGGTAATATATCACTCACTTTTTAATTTTCACATTAAAAGGAATCTCTCTGGAATTATTCAAATCAGATTTTGCAGGCCTGTTCATTCTCTCGATAATTCAAGAAATCCACCAACCAGGTTTGTTCGGTAAGATGAGCGTTATCATCCATAAAAGTAAGATATACATGCATCTTACGCGTTGATATGAAAGACTTCATCGATACCTTTGGGTAACGCAGATCGTCGGGAATATTTCCATTCCGCATCATCGTCACCGTTTCTTAATATTGGTTGAGAATACTTCACCTTCTTGTCTTCCGCTAAATGTAAAAACATTTAAAATAAGGCTTTTAACTAAAACCCGATTCATGACTGAAAGAAGCAGGCCCACTTTATAGAACATTCTTTGCAGCACGCAAGGTCTTTTTCTATTATTTGATCAGTAAAACAGAAATCATTGGCTCTCTCCAAACCTGCTCTGCGCAGTTAGAAGGATTCCAGAAGTTCCTAGGGGTACTGCGAATTCTAAACTCAAATGTCTATCAGTCAAGCTCCTTCAAACTCTTGTTGCCAAACTGCGGCTTCGAGAGGAGGGAAAGTATTTTGAAAAGCAGTTGTTTATCTTCTACGACTCTGTCTCACTGTCTGTCTACGACTCTGTAATTTTAAACTATATTCAAGAGGCATAGATTATCTGCCAAGAAACCTCCAATTACCTTGCCTCTTTTATAATTGCTTTTTCTTCTTAATGGCAAACAGCTTTCCGCTTCTGATGATACCTAACCGATATTTGAAAGCAATAAAAAATATTTTGACTGAGCAAGCGCTGAAATCCAACCCTGAACTGCAAAATTTCATGAGAAAATGTACTCTAAATAAAAGGCTCGCGTGCCCTTGGATGTCATCATATATCTTTATTTTCATTAAAAGGAGAATTGTTTCAGAAAAAGATTGATTAGACTGAGTCTAAAAATAATAACCAAATTTGCCTTTTGCCCATTACATGAAAATTAAATTAGCTCAGTTTCATGAAACAACATTATTTTAATGAATGAAAAGATTATTTGGAATCTTAGTGTAGGTCTGACTTAAAGAGCATTCCAATAGCCACAACAATTACAAAAGAGTTCTTTCCTGGAAAGCAGCCTGATTTTCACATAATTACCAAATATTTCTTTCATGTGAGTAGAATAACGCTTTTGAATGGTAATACTTGTAAGTATGAAATTGTTATTTTTCAAAACTGCTGTTATTTCGTATTTGCAATTTTATTTACAGAACAATACGCAACTCTTATTCTGGAATCATGAACGTCGATGCTTATTTCGGATTAACATTTATTTGCAAACGAAAAGAAAGAAAATAATAAAAGTTTTCTTTGTACAGTTCAGTCTCCCTTTAAAATACACTTAACTATGTAAAGTTTGGGATCAAAGTGAATAACTAGGCTTCATCTCTTTAAATCACAGTTTAAATTGTCTTTTTTAAAGAAAATTATCTTCCAAAATTCTGAAAATTAAATTATAATTTTTTTCTGGCGTAGTTTATATGTCAAAAATATAATTAAACTATTCATATGAAATATTTAGTATGCTTAAGTTAGACAAAAGAATTTCACAAAAATTTAATTAATACTATTTGTCTGATTGTGAGCAGCACACAAGTGCTCGAGTGGATTAATACCACTGAACTCTGGTCGCTCGCATACAGTTGAAAATCCAGTTAATGAGGTAGCCGCATGGATGTTTCCATGATATTTCTCAAGTGTAACATAAACATGAACCAGTCACTTTTCCTTAGAATGGCCTCCACGAAGATATACCTCCCTTAGGCCGATAAATTTCATATGTTTTGCTATATTCAATGAAATAAACAAATTTCTCTGGCAATGATTAGGTTAGATCATTTGAATATGACAAAGCACACAAGGGCTATCTGCCTAAGGGGCTGGTTGCTGGAGGAAGGGAAACAAAGAGAAACTGACTCATATTCACGTTTCGTATGGAAATACCATGAAAACGAAGCAATTGAAAACTTCATTAAGGGAGAAATGGCCATTGCTATCATCTGCGATTTTTGATCACCTCATTGGAAGCATGAGTTAAATAGACCACGCTTCCAGTGAGGCTACTCAGATAACCTAAATAGATTAATTTATCTGAGTATGGCAAAGCACACGAGTGCTCTCTGCCTAAAGGGAATGCCTTCGTGGATGACTTTCTAAGAGAAACGAGCTTCTATTCCCGTTACACATGGGGAAAACATGAAAACCAACCATGCACTCAGCCTGATGCCTGGGATATAGCCCGAGTCGAATTCCCAGTATTCAGCTGTCTTAACCACTCGGCCACAGATTGGACATCTGATGATGGATTTCTACTTGTGATTATAGGTTGTCAGTATCCACTCTTTCCATATGCTGTCATTCAGCATTTTGTCATATTCCAGTAACACTGTCAGCATGAAGTGGCTCTTAAATAATTCTGATGTGATACGAATGACCTGAATTTCTTTTCTTAAAATGAAATACAGATGAAATTTTTCTCTAAAAGTTAATTTCCGTTCCTGCAGGAATGAGATAGCAATCATTCAAATGCACCATGTGTAAAATTTCAGCAGCATTTTCCTGTTTTTAATGCCTAAATTCTCAAGGAACTGTAAAATTAAGCCCCTCTAGATTATACGGCTTAGCGCATAAATAAAAGAGTCAACTCGAGCGTCCCAGCTCCATAATATTTTTCATTGTTTTAGACAGCTTTAATACCGTTAAGTCTTCTTTTTGCACATGTAATTAAGAATAACTAATGCATTTGCGCATACTGAAAATCTTCTTTAATAAAGTTTCCAAAATATTTGGGTAATGCTGTTTTGATGGAAACGACAAAATGTTAAACATAACTAAAATAAAAGCTAGGATGTCAGATATTGTGACCTAAGACATTATAATTTTATCTTTCATAGTTAAATAACCTTCTTCCTCCATTCTTATATCTATTGAATTCACAGATAAATTTTAAAGATGCTTAATTTTGTTTTCTGATATAGACATATACACACGCATAAAACGCACACGCTGTCTTCTGGTAAAAACAGATGAAATTTTTAGGCTCTGAAATGTTATAATTTTCAAATCAACTATTTTACTTTTCGGCATTAATGTACTTAAAAAGGAAAACTAATAAGGAAATTAAAACAACTTTATGGACCAAAACAAGCAAACTATGTATATGAATACATTACTTTATTTTCATTGTAAGTAATTTCCTCATAGAATTAGAGTTTATTGAACATCCACTGAAATATCTAACAGATACCTGTCTTATCTGAGTAGTGTTTTGTTTCATACTTATGCACTTGGGAGGGGTGGATGTGAATTATCGCTTATTGGTAACTCCGAAACGCAAGAAGGTTTCTGAAACTGATTACCTAAAAATTTATTACTCGTACCTTTTCAGAATATTTTCAGCGGCTGACTATTTATGTCGGCCTCTTATAACTTTTTCAGTTACGAATTCCAGTGATTACATAAACTTTCCAGCTATCGTAACAGAGAAAACAATTTCATACTGTGATAAATAATTTTTAATCTCCAATATTCATGCAAGGTTTATGTAAGCAGTTCTAACAAAAGACTGAGACTTTTCCTTTCATGCAGGCTTTGAGATGACATTTTCCCTGATAAAATATTTCTGGAACGGAACTGTTGAATTAAATTCTCCAAAGCAAAGTTTCCTTTTCGGTTATATGATTGAGCAAGAAGTTTTCGTAATTAGGGAATGTTATCTATATTGAGTACTACAGTTTATAATATTTATTCTCGTAAAAATATGTGCATTAGAGGAAATTAAAATATATATTTTTTTAAATTTTGATTTTGTGTTTGTTTAGCGATAATTTTATTATAAGTTAATTGAAATAAATATTTAAAAGGTTCTTACCGTAAATTAATGTAGCCAGCAGAAGTTGGAAAACTATGAAGTAAAACATGATCTTACGTATGAGAAGACGTTAACTGCAAGTTCAGTTGTAGAATGAAAGCAAAAGAATGAGCTTGTGAAATCTATTCGAGCGGAGTTCTCTCTGACGTCACTCTGACTCTATCTGTGATTGGCGTGTCTTAATTCTGGGTGCTCCCAGCATTTGTCTTTGAATTACAAGACAATGATTTCCTTGAAAGCAGGTGCTATCATTGATCTGTCATTCAACACGTTTTTATCATTTTTAGATATATTGAGAAATATATATATAATAAATTATACAAAAATACACATTTTTAATGGATTTCAACTATATATTTCACCCCTTAAATATAAATATGTAACAATAAACCCAGTGCATATTATTAGAATCAAAATCCAATCTCAATCAAAAAGCGATGAGCTCTTAATATTTTATAGAACTGAATCATAATATAAACTGAGAATTCTGTTATTCGGTGAAAATTCCTTTTACGTTTCCACAGAACTCCAATTTTTAGTCCAAAGGAGCTTTATCCCTGAAGGTCTATTGTTTTCATTTTGCGTTGGTTCACTATAAATGTCCGTTTACCTTTTCAAATGGTTGCCACCAAATGTTAGAGTCCTGCTTTATATTTGAAGAAATTAAATAATGAAAAATCTGCATAAATGTATGTATATTTTTCGCATTGTGATAAAACAATGGTACATAGAGCCATCGAATTTTGAATGATGTACTCCTACTGCGAATATCGGCATGTGGAAGCCCAAATTTGGAATTTGTTTTATTATCGATTTCATATTTTTTAAAAATTTAATGAATTTTTGATTAACAAACCTCAAGGATTTCCAAAGCGAGCAAGTGGCAACTTTGTACAGAAAAAAACACTTTTATCTCCAGCGCGTGAGACTGCTGTATCGGGAATTCTAAGCATAGGCTCAGTTTAAAATTATTTTGCGATATTGCTCTTAATTAAGCAACAATCTTAAGCTGAATTTTATGGTTTAAATGCGAAGAACGTGATATTTAATAAATAAAGGTACAAGACAAAATGTTTAAAAAAACGCCCCTTTGAACGTAATTTAAAATCTGAAACATTTCAGATTTTAATTTTGTTTAAACTTACTATTAAATACATGAAACTCTGGCAAAAAGACATAGGCGAAAACGCCTGAAAGCTCAGAACCTGCGGAAAAATGTCTGCAAATGAACACCCACTCATATGCTGAAATCCTAAGAGATAGAATATTTATGTATTCATGAGAATTTTTTTTGTTAGGATCTTTCTTTTGTTTAGCCTTTTAACCCTTTAACTGCTTAAGTCGTGTTTAAACGTTTTTGGAATTCTTTAAAAATGCTTAAGACGTCTTTACACGCATTTCAAATCGCACGAAAAATGCTTAAGACGTGTATACACGAAGCCCGAATTTCGCGAAGATTGCTTAAGACGTGTTTAGACGACGCGATCTGGTCTTCCTTCCCCTACCTTTCTGCAGGCGGCTGTCAGTTGACACAAAGCTCTTAATAGGGTGTGAAGTCTCTTTCAAAAGAGCACTTTAGGAAAAAGTCCTTAGAGTGAAGTATCTTTGTCAGACAGCAGGTATGTATTATCTGTGTGCCGACTAAAAGTTTGCGAAAGAAGATAAATCGTTTTACAACTGTTTGCCTTGTGGTACTTTATACAAATGAAAGTCAAACAGGATCCGACGTTGTTATAGTATATTGCCAAATTTTAGTAGAAACAAGAAAAAATAGAATTGTAACGGAGGACGCCTTTAATGCCTATATGTTTATAGAATCAAATATTTTATTTTTGTATTGAAAAATGATTACAATTTCTGATTCGTCAGGAAACAATATAAAATGTTTGCAACCAGCTTTCTTGTTTGCCTTCGTATTTCAAATGCGCGTTATTATAATGTTATATTCTTCTTTTTACATTCTTAAATGTTAAAACTGTGCTTTCAGCATGCCTGAGTTTTGTACTCGTATGTGTGGCTCTATGCTCCGTAGAAATGGCGAACTGACATATAAAAATTATATGAAAGTTGAAAGGAAGATATTCTACTCGAAACTTCAACTAAATGGAATAATGAATACGCCGAAGGAATTTCTAGAAATATTTGTTTTAAAAAATTTTATTAAGATTTTAAATACAAAATGTTTTTGAAATCTAAGGGGGAAAAAATATGTATTCCTTGAAACATTTTTGGAAAGAAATCTATCGATATAAAATCTCTTAAAATTAATGGAGTGTAAATTAAGTAAAACAGTTAGTGTACGGAAGGGTTAGATATACTGCGCACAAAAAATTACAGTCAGAAGAATCAATTATTCTAAAGATATTAAATTAATTACATTAAAAGAATTCAAATAAATGATAAAATAAATTAACATCTGTCCAAATGTCAATGCTAACAGCAATAGCACGAATGAAAGTTATTCTTTAAATTCCGAACTTAATTCATCCGTCGGTACGCAATGATTGTGTCTTTGCGATTACTTTTCTTATAGATACTACAAAAGGCCGCCAACGAAGTAGCAGTAAAATCATTGAATACTAATAGTTTGAAGCGGGTTCAAATCCTGACGAATGGATTGCCTGCATACCAGTTTTCGCGAATTTTTGTTGCCGCATGTTTAATGTGAATATGAGGACAATTTAGTTAGCTTTTCATGATGACGTGCCTTGACTACGAGTCCTCGCTCGGCTTGTGTTTGGTTTGGCTTGTTAGATTATTAAGCACGTGAAGGCGATCTGTCTAAGGGAAGGTATGCTTTCGTGACAGATTTTCTAAGGGAAACAATCTCGCACTACAAAAAGTTAAAACCATAAAAACGCCCATGCAATCAGCTTGTTCACGGGGGTTTGAATGCAGGTCAAACTACCAGTATGTTAAGAGAAGCGATTCCAAGAATGTTTAATTATTTTATTTAGTTTGTCATAAGCTAAATAAAATAATTAAACATTCTTGAAATCTCTTCACATTACTGAAATGGCAATAACTTCGAATTATACTATGCTACTACTTTTCCTCTAATATGAAATTTTGAACTTTTCCGTTATCGGACAGCCCACCAGGGACTGAGCGGAGTCTAACGGAACAACTGGTGGTTCTGTCCGGGGTTCGAATCCCGGGAAACGAGCTGGTTGCCAGGATGATATTCTTAGTTTTCCATATGTGTAACATGTATGCAAGCCAATTTCCGTTAGGCAGTCCTCGAACGAAGGCATCCTTCACCTTAGGCAAATAACCATCGAGTACTTTGCCATAATCAAATAAACCTTTATCCATAACATGCTTCAAATATTTTTATGTTGAAAAGTGCATTCGCAAAAGTTGGCCCCCCGTAGAATGAAATATGTTGTTTATTTTTTTTCTTTGTTTTTTATAACGACAATGTTCTTGTTTTCAGAATCTGAATTATCAACAAAGTATTTTAATAATATGCAATTCTATTTTGTTTTTTGTTTAATGAAAAATTAATTTAAGCGACAAATCTCTTACATTTAGAAAACATTTTCGATTTTCGAAACGAGTTGCTGTCAAAAGCGCATCTTCTCGTTGCTGCATATATTTTGTTTAAGCAAACTGCTTGGCGCGTGTGCTTTTATATTTGAAAAGATTCAGAGAATTTTCAACATGGAAATAAAGTTATTAATTTTACTGAATTTTGTGGATTCTTTGTGTTTTGAGGTAAAAGTCAAACCATCAGATATGTGATAACCTTAAAATAAGGGTATATATAATCAGGATTTTGCGGCCAGACATTCCCAGCGAAATACATTACAAAAAATTATCTATGTAGAATTAATGTATATTCCGTTTAGTATTTTAATTTATCAGTGTTATTACACATCAGTTTATCAGTGTAAGTTATATCGAGTTTTAGTTGTGTTCGATATAAGAATTTTATTTGGTTTATATAAATCCGATTCGTTTAATAATATATATTTATTAAATACTATTTATTAGGTTTTCAAATCTGTCAAACCCAATCAATGGCCTCCTGGCTAAGATATCTGATTATCGCTATTTCGACTCGTATTCGAACCCAAAACAAACGAACTGGTTGAATTTTGTGATTTTCCCTATGTGTAACATGAACATGAGTACGTTTTACTTAGAAAGTCGTCCATGGAGACATTCATTGCCTTCGGCTGATAGATCTCGTTTCCTTTGCCATACTCAAAAAATCTAAAAAAATTTTTCAAAAACACTAACAGATGCATATAACAAAATAAAATTAAGTAAATGCATATAAGAAAATAAATTAAGTAAATGCATATAAAAAAACTGAAGTAAATGTATATAACGAAAAAAAAAAATGATGGGTAAAAAACAAATTTTCAATAATTTTTCAATACAGTAGTTTTTAAATTGCTTGTTTTCAAATTTTATTTCATTTTATGTATGTACTAATATACAGTGTATGTGTGCGAAAGTGTGCTTGTTCGGCATATCCATATATATTAATTAAATAAATCTGATTTGAAAATGCATGCACTAACGCGCTATTCTCGTAATTTGAAAAACACTAAAGTATTGTCTGAGAAAAATGTTTATAAAGAAAATTAAATTTCGTCTCCTTACTCGGTGCTGTGTAAAAAATTTAAGTAAGCTTATTAATTTTTTCTTCTTTATTAAAAACAAATTAGTTTCTTTTCATCTATATATGAAAAATAACAAAAATCTTGCTGTCAGAATGGAAATTCTTAAAAATATGAAGTTCGTTTTTTTCGAACAAAAGTTTCTGAGAAATTTCTCTAGGTCAGCAGGTAGTAACAGGACCACTGACTGCTTTGTTTTGTGCAGTTGATTTCACCCCCAAAAACCCGATGAAGTGGATGATTTTACCCCCAAAAGGTTTTCTTTAACAAAGCAGATGCGGTCCAAATGGCTTTGCTGAGAAGCGTTCGTATTTGAATAGCTTGAAGCTTGAAAGCTTGAGTTGGAAGATTGTTTCCCGAAGCAATCAGTCAGACAGCAATTAAAATTTGTTATAGATATTTCTCTCTCTCTCTCTGTGAGTTCTTGAAATCTTGGAATGGGTGTGAAGAAAAATTTATTTTGTTTTACATATAAGGAAACTGCATGTAAA